AATTCTAACAAAATTGTAGATTGTATTCCATGTTGAACATAGTTCGCGTCCATACAATACAAAGGATTTATTTTAAATAATTTATTTAAACACATAAATATTGGTACAAAGAAGCACAGAATACATATGCGCCACACAAGTCACTTGATTTGTGTGTGGACTGTGATACTGCCCGAATGTCCACCCGGAGCCTTTGACCTACAAGTTATAATCCACAAGACAGTTGAGCAACGTCAGGAGATGTAGTCACACGGTAGCCGGTGACCAAAGATTGGTTCATACTCCAATTGTTCCCTCACGATACCGGAGCCTATATGCACCATTGGTTTGGAATCAGGATTTTCCAACTGCTCTAGGTGGATCCTCCATTCCATCAACCCGGTTAAAGCACCGGACATTCACTTTTCTTTCTCTCACTTTCGTAAGTAACAACGTTGCCGCGAGAATTCAGTGGATAGGACTTCCCTGACGGAGGCTGTATACGCGTGACCATGTGAGAGAATTTTGAGAAGGAATGCTGACTCTCTTCACTCTCGGAAGTACCAGGGCATTAAGGGTTAAATTCTTCTCTCACTTTCTATTATGTTCAAACAAGTACATATACAAAGAATTTTCTGTATAAACATATCGTATATAACATCATTATACATATAGGTGTGAATACATTTCGACATACTATTGATTTATTAGATTTCGCATGAATTTTTTTTTGTTTTTCCTACATTTTTTTGTATCAGTATTCTCTTTGGATCCGCTTTAACCGGGTTGGTGGACATGGATATTCCACCTAGAGGAGTTAAAAAACTCTGATTCCAAACCAATGGTGCACATAGGCTCCGGTATCCTGAAGGAACAAATGGCGTATGAACCTATCGTTAGGCACCGGCTACCATGTGACTGCATCTCCTGACGTTGCTCCACTGTCTTGTGGATTATAACTTGTAGGTCAAAGGCTCCGGGTGGACATTCGGGCAGTATCACAGCCCACACACAAATCAAGTGACTTGTGTGGCGCATATGTATTTTGTGCTTCTTTGTATCAATATTTATGTGTTAAAATAAATAAATAAATTGGATACTCCAAAGGCAGGTATGTTGAGATGGTTAAATCAGAGAGAAGTTTCACATTGTACGAAATTTTATTCAATTTATACAATCCTCGTTATTCACTGTAGAACCTTATTTGAATTATAATATTAAATACTTTAAAGAAAAAGTACACATTACATAATGATTACCATCCAGTAAATAAATGTGCTTTTTAACTCGATTGTGACGTGTATATATTCAAGGATTTTTGTAACGACAAAATACAAACCACATTTTCCCTATTTGTCACACTTTATATGTAACCACATTTATATTCAATATCTATTGTTTATCTGTGACTCCGTTTGGAGCCCCTCAGGTGCTGCTACCGGTCTTAAGCCCGGATAAGGAAGGAGGGTTAGACAAGGGGTTGACGATCTCATCCCATAGAAAACTAATTAGCTAAAAAAACGCTAACCAGAAAAAATAATTCAAACCAATTGAACTCTACCCTGGGAGTTAGGAGGTCTTTATTTAGAAGAGTTATGACGCCTCATGGTAAAAGCTGAGTTCCTTCGGAAGTCAAGAGGATGATGTTTAGTTATATACACTATACACAATACTGCGATTGTTAAAATATAAACGCTATTACCGCCGTCTGTTCTTCTGCTTTATTGACTATAGCCTTTGATTGAAGATTATAATAGTGTTATATCATCCTTTTAGGCCTTCTCATACTACATTATATAATACTATCGGATTTCATCTTTCTCATTACGTCGTTGGTGTCACCACGTGCAGAGGTATCTTTGTTAATTAAGTGAACTCATTTGCGGTTGCTATCTCAGAAAGCAGCTTACAAGTAACGTTCATACTTAGTAATAACTGTTATCATTAAGCAATGATGAATAGTGGCTAGCAGCGGAATCCAGGATGCACGTTTCTTCTTATTTGGGACTCGTCAGCTAGATGTATTTGCATCCCATAGCACTACCAAGTGGTTATCAGGACTCAGTAGCTGAGTGGATAACGCGATGGAGTTTGAAGGAGACGATACTGGGTTCGAGTCTCAGAGTGAACATCAACTCTGAGATGCAGGTACATCCAGCTGACGAGTCGCGAGTAGGAGGAAATGCGCGTCCTGGATTCCACTGTTAGCCTCTATCCATCATTGCTTACAAAGAGCTTGTGAATTAAGGCAATATCGAGACATACGCACAGTATGCGCATAGGTCAATACCAGACTGATCAATTGCAGTCTTAAACCTTAATGGGCAGATACAAGCCAAACAATACTAAGTGAACTGTTAGCATTGTATATGTAGTTTGTTACCTTTTGCTATACTCATAGACATATACTAAAGGTTGTAGTGTTAAACATTTTTGGTATATTATCGGTTACTTTACATATTGTTACATCTTAATTAAGCTGGGATCCATCACAACTCACACTTAATTCTATTAGACATAACTACCGAATTACAAGGTTTCGAACATATGTTAGTTAGTGATTCATTATCGCAATAATTCTATGAACATACTGAATTGAATCTAAAATTTCTTGTAGACCAATTTATCGATTTATATTTGGATATTTTCGGGGCAAAGAGATATGTATATACCATTCACGGATAACACCTTGGTTAACTAATAAATCATGATTGACTGAATATTCCTATGGTATTTTGTGTACATGGAGTTTCATGGATTGATTGTACTGTTATATTGCATACTTAATTTGTGTTTCACCATAATAGTAACAGTAGATAACACTTGATATATTTTTAAAGATTCAGCAATTGTATTCATCATTTATCTAAGGGCATAAATTACTTATCGTTGAACCACACCTATGACCATCCATATTACTTACTTCCTCACTACTATTACTCCTCGTGAAAAAGCATAGGCCGCTCACCAGCATTCTCCATCCAACCCCGTCCTGAGCAATCCTTTCCCGCTCCTTCCAATACTTATTCATCTTTTTCATGTCTGCTTGTATTTCCCGACGTAATTTGTTCTTTGGCCTTCCTCTTTTCCGCTTCTATTCAGCATTCCAAGTTAGGGCTTGTTTCGTCAGGCAGTTTGACGGTTTGCGTAATGTATGTTCTATCCATTTCCATCGTCTTTTCCTAATTTATTCTTCAGCTGGAAGTTGGCTTGTTCTCTTCCAGAGTAGGTTGTTGCTGATGGTATCCGGCCAATGAATGTTGAGTATCTTGCGTAGACAGTTATTTCTAAATACTTGCACCTTCTTGATGGTGGTTGTTGTAGTTCTCCAAGTTTCAGCTCCGTACAGTAGAACTGACTGCCTTGACGTTCGTATTGAATATTGTGACTTGGATATTGGTTGAAAGTTGTTTTGAGTTCCATATGTTCTTCAGTTGTAGAAGAGCGGCCCTTGCTATGCTAATCCTCGTCTTTATGTCTGCATCTGATCCTCCTTGTTCATCGATGATATTTCCCAGGTATGTGAATCATCCTACATCTTCCAGAGCTTCGCCATCAAGTGTGATTGGATTGCTGTTCTCCGTGTTGTATTTGAGGACCTTGGTCTTGCCCTTGTGTATGCTAGGGCCTACTGATGCAGAGAGTGCTGCTACACTGGCTGTCTTTATCTGCATTTGTTCGTGTGTGTGGGATAGGAGGGCTAGATCATCTGCGAATTCCAAATCGTATAATTGATTCTGAGTTGTCCATTGTATTCCGTGTTTTCCCTCAGATGTCGAGGTCTTCATAATCCAGTCGACCACCAGGAGAAAGAGGAAGGGAGAGAGAGAGTAGACAACCTTGTCTGACTTCGGTCCGTACTTGGAATGCATCTGTCAGCTGTCCTCCATGCACGACCTTGCACTGTAGTCTGTCATATGAGTTCCGCATAATGTTGACAATCTTCTCAGGAACTCCGTAGTGTCGAAGAAGTTTCCATGATCTCCTCCTATCTACACTGTCAGATACCTTTTCATAATCAATGAAGTTGATGTACAGTGACGAGTTCCACTCAAATGATTGTTCGACAATGAACCGTAGGGTTGCAATTTGGTCTGTGCACGACCGATCCTTGCGGAATCCAGCTTGTTGATCTCAAAGTTGGGCGTCTACTGCGTCTTTCATCCTGTTCAGCAACACTCTGTGATATGACTGTGGTGATTATCAAATGCGTGATTAATAAGTTAAACATTTTATCGATCAGTTTTCAAAGGAAACATCATTTTGATGTATCCTCTCTTTATTAAAAGTAAGTCGTAATACTTACCTAAATAGGTTATAGGTATAAACTCTGCAAGTATATATTTGATTTACAGTTATGTAAAGTAAATCATAGATGACTAAATGTATATATTCTGTCCATAAGCATTTCTGAAATAAGGATTTATTTCCGGTAAAGTTTATAACTATCCCGATGAGAATAATGGATGGTAACTGTCAGAATATATTTATGAACTATTACTATACATACAGTTTTATCATATACTTATTAAGTAACTAAACTACTCATATCCATGTCCGTCTTATTATAAACTTTATTACACGATTTATCATTCTTGAGTCATACCAAGTCTATCAGTCACTATCTCCTACATTCACAACCACTTTTGGTTAAATCTTTTACAAATATTATTTCCTAATTTATGGTAGGCTGTGGTCTTTTAGGTTAGTATATAAGCCCAGTATGTTTGAAATAAATGATTCCGATCACAAAGGCCGAGATTGGTGTTCTGAACTTAACAGGCAAGAGAAGGCGGGAAGCAGGACCGATAAGGACTCTAGACTGCTCGTACTTGTTTTATGCGTCATTGATCCGGTCGGCAACTCACTGTTCTCTAATTGGCGGTGTCATTACGTTACACATGAATAGGACACGCGGCCCAAATTATAACAATAACGAATCAGTTTATCGTAGATTACACTTAGTTACAAGTTCTTTTCCATTGATTTATAATAATAAACATGATTGTACAGAACAATGTTCACTGTAAATGAGAAAAATATCATCAATTATGATTGAAACAAACATGACAAGTGAGAATGAAGTGACAATCTCTTAATGAATAGTATGAACTAAAAGATAAGTCATTTCAATAATGTTTGATTGTTTTCATTACACACCATGTATGGAAGAGATAATATTCGTTGATAATTGTTGATGTTGAAAGCTCCATGTGTGACGTTTCAAAGTTTGTGAAGGTTATCAGTAATTTCCTTACTCGTTTTTGAGTCACATTCGTGTTAACATACACTATACTTTGCTTACGTTTACTGGTTATGAGGAAAACATTATTTCATAATTCGTACTGTGATTATTCATCTACAAGTGCTAACAATCCACAGTTGCATTGCTCACATTCCCCGTTTCATCCATTATTTCAACATTCGTCCGTCTATTTGTCAATTAAGCTTTCCAATTAATCTTGATCTACTCCCTGGTTATGGCTTCACAGGCAATTGAAATAGTCTGTGGGCCACAACAATATATTTCCTTGTAACACTGCTATGCTACATATCTGAAGAACATGAAGTCAGTGCAGGTAACACTAATAAGAAATGATTGGTAGTTAACAGATTCCATCCCACTTATCACAACTTCCAATGCAAACATTATTCATCCTAAATGCACAGTGTTCATCGTTTTATAAATGACTTAATTCTATTGTAGTGAACGAGATGACAACTGGGGACAGTCGAATGTACTGGGATACAAGTTTACAGAACATCTTAGTAAAATCGGAGAATCATACAGCAGAAAATACTCCATTTGTAAAATGTCAATCAATCATCTCAGACTTCACTGTTCCTTCGTTTCCACAACAATCATTCTCTGTTGTCGTTCTATTTCCTTCTATCTTCTTAACCTTCTGCTGCCAAATATTTCACTTTCGAGTGATGATACTTACTACTTATATCTGTTTATATCAGTAGCATAAAGCACACTAATAGCAAATCATAGTTGAAGTTAATTTAGGATTAGTAATTATAGAGAGTTTTAATTCAATCAACTCACATCATCATGAATTACAAACAATTCGTTTTTATCACAGTTTGTTTGCTTCCAGCTCTTAGATGACTCTTCATCAAAGCTGGAGTTCATCGAGTTTTATTAAAAATTGATTTTTTGTATGATTTGATTGATAATTTAGAAATGCAACAAACATTTCAGTAGTAGTAATGGTCCATTAAACCATTATCAAATGCTTGTTATTCTTAACACCATTATAAAGCCGTTGATTAGATGTCTACTAGATGACATTTGCATGATAATCAATATCTTCATTACAGTCACTAAGTGGTTAATCGAAAATCAATATCTGCAAATGTATTTGACATTGATGTTGATCTCATTATTTTTAGTGGATTAAAATAGATAAAAGCAAGTGTCTACTGAATTGTTTTTGAACAACCTCACAAAATGTGTCACTTTATTACTCTCATTAACCAGTGTACTTATGACCTTCTGAATCCCAGGGCAGACTATAAAAGATTTGAACAATTTTTCCTGGTTAGCGTTTTTTTAGCGAGTTAGTTTTCTGCGGTATAGGGTTGCTAACCCCATGTCCAACCCTCCTCCTTTACCTGAGCTTGGGGTCGGCAGCAGCCCCTGGAGGGACTTTAGGCGGAGTTCATTAACCAGTGTACAAATTATACAGTCAACCACTTCTGCATACTATTGAATATAGTTCCATTCCTAGCCATTATTGACTTCTTTATTTGGTACATGTTAAATTGACTTGCTTTATCCGACTACTACTCTTAAAAGAGCTTTCTATCAGTATCACAACACAATCATCACCAAGTGTGTTTTGTGTCGTTATATTTAGATTCAATAAACAGAAATTATTATAACAAAACAGTTAAAAGAGAACTTACTTCGTAGCAAAATGGACAGGGTCTTGGGGGCTTCTCATCTATCAACTTCTTAAATGGGAGTAATGATTGAATATGATTTTAACAAACTTTTTATATCTGATTAACATCAAAACAGTATAGTTTTGACTAATTGTACATAAAATTTCAAAAGAAATGTCCAATCATTTCGGTACTGATGGAACAGTGAATCTCTCTGCACAACTAAGACTAACGAATAGAGTTACATAGGTGTAGTGTTATCGAACATCTTATGCAACGATTTAGACTGAAATGACAACACAATACATACAGTAACTCTCCTGTTCACAACTAAAATTGACAACACCCCTAATAAAACTGTTTTACCAGAATGACGATTTGTGGAGATTGTAATAATTTTTTATAATTGAATTTATGAGTCCATCTAAGCTAAACTACCATTGAAAATGTGGAAGCATTGAATGACCGTTTTCTTCTATTATAGGATTGCTAAGCAGTGCGGATCCACGAACTTGACAGAAACCAAAAATAAACACTTTTACTGCTTTTTTATATTGCGTTTTTGTGAGATGAAAGATAAAGAGTAGATGAATTGTACAAAAGAAGATCGACAACAAAACATCTAAATTTGGAAGAATACAAGGTAACTAAGCAATTTTCAACCATAATCTAAATTCAATGAACGCATCTCAGCCGAAGCTGTGGTACAACGTTGGGAAGGAAACAAAATTCGTTACACTTAGGTAGCGTCTTAAAACTAAATATACTGCTTTATACTTTTTTATCATTACTTTTAAGCTGAAGTCAGTGAGATTTATTTTGGATGTTCCAAAATTTATTTATTTAAACACATAAACATTCGTACAAAGAAGCACAGAATATATGTGCACCACACAAGTCACTTGATTTGTGTTTGGACTGTAATACTGTCCAGGTCCCCGCGAGTATGCAGTGAGTAGGACTTCCTTGGCAGTGGTTGTATGCACGTGATTGTGTGAGAGTATTTGAAGAGGAAGAGCTGACTCTCCCCACTCTCGACTGTACCAGGGCATTTGGGGACGGGTATCCCAAAAACAAGCGATTCACTATTGTTATACTTATGAACTTTCCATCTACTTAATATTCATCGCTTCTGTAATGATATCAATCCATAAACCAATAAAACTTTGTATTGTACTGGATTGTTCAACTTTGAAAGTTTGTTCTCAGTAAATTCATACTATTCGAAATCAGTCAATTTGGTTCCATTGATGATGAATAGACGTTCAGATTACAGAATGCTATGTTTGGGGTTGGAGAAGTGAATAACATAGTACAGGTATATAAAAAGAAGACAATTCACTGTTTGGAAAAGTCACTATAACGAAAATAATAATGAGATCACTTATTTCTTACTGAATATCCTCCATAATGTTGGCAATTATTTTTGTTTCTTAATACATAAAGCTGTGAATAGATAAATAAATCTATCAAATTCAGATATCTAGAACAAGGTATTACTGTGGTGTGCTACTGATATTGACAGATATAAGTAATATGTATCAACAATCAAAAGTGAAATTCCTGGAGGCAGAAGGTTAAGAAGATCGAACGAAATAGAACTTACTTAAACATGCAATTTGGCACAAACTGATATTAATTAGGAGAATTCAGCAAAAGAAGTTTTCTCTTTTTTTTGCATGAATTCATTTACTTAAGCTGTACATTCATATTCATAGTTATATGGAAAAAATATGTGTCTGTAGAAGGATAGAGAAAGTTACATCGCTCCAAAGGAGTCTTTTTTAAAAATAATCTACACAGTCAAATAAATTAGGTTGATTGGAGATCGAATCAAAATCTTATGCACTGCTGAGACATTGGCAATACACCAACTTTGCGTGCAAGAACGATTTGTCCAACCTCTCATCCTTCCTTGGCCCTAATTCCTTTTTGTAGTATGTTTAGGGTTTTTCATTATTATTATTATTAATTGATTGATTGATTGATTGTTTTGTCATTCTAAACTGTAATTAGCTGTAATTATTGCCCTTGAACAAGTTTCTTTGATTATCATCCAGTTTTTATGATTATGACCTTTATGTTCTTCGTGTTTCTTCTTCGTATTTGTCAATTAGACAATTGGATTAATCCGTTAATTATTTCCAGCCTTATATTCTTCTTTTACCTCTTGATTATTACGTAACCTGATTTGAGAATAAGAGTCTTCAATCAATTTATGATGTAACCTTCTCTATCTTTCTATAAGCACATATATACCTATAAATACGTATGCACACTAAATTAAATGGTTTTGACGAGAAGACAAAACTTCCTTTACTGAATACTCTTTGTCTGTATCCAGTGACACAATGGGTTATTTGAGTTATCTGATATCAATTAGTAAACTCCTACAGATCAACCATACAAGGTAGTTATATTTACCCGTTAATTATCATCCACAAGAGATAAAAAGCGTTCATTATCATTTAGTAGTGAACAATATTCTTAAACAATATTGAAGCGTAACCGTTTTCCTACTAATTTTACATAAAGCATTTTGTGCTTGTGGAAATCAATCACATCAACTATTCATATCAATTATTATGGCCCCCCGAATGCCCTGTTACGGCCGAGAGTGGGGAGAGTCCGCTCTCCCTCTCGAAATACTCTCACACGGCCACGCGTATACAGCCTCTGCCAGGGAAGTCCTACTCCTGCCTTCTCGTGGCGGGGGTGTTGTTTGTGAAAATGAGAGGACGAAAAGCGAATGTCCAGCGCTTTACCCGGATTCCAAACCAATGGTGCACATGGGCTCCAGTATCCTGCGGGAACAAATGGTGTATGAACCAATCGTTGGTCACCGGCTTCCATGGGATTGCATCTCCTTACGATGCTCCACTGCCTTGTGGGTTAGACCTTTAGGTCAAAGGCTCGGGGTGTGGCCCCCTAAGATAACCACCTGCATCGGTTTGGGTACCTGGGCAGTATCACAGCCCACACACAAATGATGGACTCTTTATGTCTATAGAAATTACTTTTCTCGCTTCGAAAAACAATCAATTGATTCAAATTATTATCATTACAATTATTGTCATTATTAATACTATTATTATTATTACTATTGTCATTATTATTATTACTATTATTATTATTATTATTATTATTATTGTTTTGCACATTATTCACCCTCTTTTATACTTATACAGCGGCTCGTCTTTGGTGGAAATTCGACTGTATCTAAACGTTCTCGAGTCACTGTCCGGTTGAAAATTGTATGTTACCACCAAATACGAGGACTGAAGCAGTTTTCCTGAAACCACGTGCACCATTCAAACTGGCTGCCTTCAACGTTCGCACATTTGTGCAGGTCGGACAACAGATAGGGCTGGCTATGTCTTTGGAAAGTCTTAATATTGATGTTTGTTGTCTATCCGAGACCCGTATTCCAGACTCTGGCGAAGTACTACAAATTCGATCTCCATCTGTCGCTTCGAAAAGCTTGTTTTACGTACGCTTATCTGGGGACCCTGTGGCATCTTCGACTGGTCTTGCTGGCGTTGGTGTCGCACTAGGCGCTAGAGCTGAGGCAGCACTAGTCGATTGGATCCCCATTAACAGTCGGTTATGTGCTGCTAGATTAGAAAGTTCCATCAAAGTGAGAAGAAATCGGCGTGAGAAACGATGTTTTTCGTCATCTCCGCCTATGCTCCGACAGATTGCAGCCCGGATGCAATCAAGGATGAGTTTTACCACCAATTATCTGTTCTTCTCCAGAAAGTGCGTTCGACAGATATTGTAGTACTAGCCGGAGACTTGAATGCTCAGGTCGGGCGTCTAGGCACAGAAGAGAGTCGTTTAGGTGGCCGATGGGGACTCGTTGGTCGCAGGTCAGATAACGGGGACCGTCTCCTGCAACTGTGCACAGACCACAACTTATTGAAGCCCGTCGGTCTACTCCGGGTGACCGTGAGTTTGACCATAAACGAAGGATGTTACGTAAGGAAATTGGGCAAAGCTTGTGTAAGGACCGAGAAGCCTGATGGTCGAAGCGTGCTAATGAGCTGGAAGCAGCAGCTGCATCTGGTAACTACCGAAAGCTCTTCCAACTCATCCGAGCCACTGGCAGCAAGAAGTCTGGTGTGAGTGAAACAATCTGCGAGGATGATGGGGTGCCAATCACTAACATCCATCGACGTCTTGGACGATGGGCAGAATTTTTCGAAGGGCAGTTCAACTGGCCTGCTGCTCAGGCAACATCGGTCAGACTGTCCTGCCCTCCATGGCCGGTGACGACTGATCCACCAAACGAGGAGGAAGTCCGCAAGGAACTCCAACTCTTGAAGCGTTACAAATCATTTGACCCAGATGACTTACCTCCGGCTCTTTTTAAAGATGGTGGTGACTTTTTGACTAAGGAATTGACGACGTTGTTTACAAAGGTTTGGGAACTAGAGAGTGTGCCAACGTCATGGAATGAGTCGATAGTTGTCCCTATCTTTAAAAAGGGTTCACGTCGTTCCTGTAACAACTATCGGAGGATAAGTCTACTTCCGATTGCGTCCAAGCTATTGGCTTCCATCATACTTCGTAGGTTGTTCAAAACCCGAGAAAGATTGACTCGCGAGGAGCAGGCTGGGTTTCGTTCTGGTCGAGGATGTATTGATCATATCTTCACCCTCCGCCAAATGTTAGAACACCGCCATACTTTTCAAAGGCCAACAATCGTAGTGTTTCTTGACATCAGGGCTGCCTTCGATTCGTTGGACAGAACTGTTCTCTGGGATTGTCTATTGAAGAAGGGTGTGCCTGAGAAGTTTATTAACATCCTAAAAGCCCTATATAAAAACACCTCAGGCAGAGTGAGGGCATACAACCACCTTTCTCCATTGTTCCATTCGAGTAGTGGGGTTAGGCAGGGTTGCCCAATCTCACCATTGCTCTTCAACTTTGCCATCGATGACATTCTGGAAACAGCTCTGATGAATGTAAGTAATGGTAGTGTGGATCTGTTGCCTGGAGAAAGACTTCTCGACCTTGAGTATGCGGACGATATTGTCTTACTGTGCGATAACGCCCAAGGCATGCAATCCGCACTTAATCAGTTGGCAATCAGTGTCCGTAGGTATGGTATGTGCTTTGCACCTTCGAAGTGCAAAGTACTCCTACAAGACTGGCAGGATTCCAATCCTGTACTCACCCTGGATGGTGAGCAGATAGACGTAGTTGAGAAGTTCGTGTATCTGGGTAGCTGCATAAGTGCTGGTGGGGGTGTGAGTGATGAGATCAATACACGCATAGTGAAAGCCAGAGCGGCTTATGCCAATCTGGGCAATCTTTGGCGCCTTCGTGATGTTAGTCTGGCTGTTAAAGGTCGGATCTACAACGCGTCGGTGAGAGCAGTTTTGCTCTATGCTTGTGAAACCTGGTCTCTCCGAGTTGAGGACGTTAGACGACTCTCTGTGTTCGATCATCGCTGTCTCCGAAGGATTGCTGACATCCAGTGGCAACACCATGTCAGTAATGCAGCGGTTCGGCATTGTGTGTTCGGGCACAGAGATGATAATGCAATTGGTGTCACCATCTTGAAACACCGGCTGCGGTGGCTTGGACATGTTCTCCGAATGTCATCCTAGAGAATTCCACGTCGTGCATTATTTGCCAACTCGGACTGGTTGGAAGAAGCGGAGAGGTGGTCAGTGCATGACATGGTGTCGTGGTATGAAAGAAAGTTGCAAAGGACTGGCTTGTGTGTGTCTTTCACAACTCCCTGGTTGGGGTCTGAGAGATGGTGCTACACAGTGGCTAGAGACGTTATCAGATATGGCTCATAATAGAAGCCAATGGCGATCCTGCTGTAACCTTCATTTACTTTCTTCATAAAAAATGGTTGTGTCTCCGTTTACTGAAAGATTTCTTCTGATTGTACCTTTTCGTTCCATCGTTACTACCACACTACCTTACACCAAACTCTTCGTTATTGTTCTCTTTTTCTTTTGTGTTCCTTAGTTTTTTTTTCTATTTCTCTTCGAATTCTCATTGTTATGTGTGGCGCATATATATTGGCGCTCTCTTGTACCAATATTCATGTGTTCAAATAATGATAATAATAATAATTCGTGACAAACAAATTAACCTACACTTCTCTCTTTAAATCAACATCATATATAGGTACTTTCAAATGGAGCATAGGCCGCCGACTAGCATTCCTCAAACCACTCTATCCTCAGCTTTCCTTTCTCGTTCTATCCAGTTGGTGTTCATTCTTCTCATGTCTCGTAGGACAGAAATTTGATAAAACTAAAAAGGAAGGTTCAGGACAGAGTGGTTTGAACAATGGTGGCCGTCGGCACATGCTCATTTGGGAGTTCAAACTTGTGTTACTATGAAGAAACACTTTATATTAAGTCACAAAACGTCATCAGAAATACAATTTTTCCACTCATTAGGATACAACAATAAAATATATTTATTAATAAATATTATGTTATACATTCATCAATATGCAATCGAAAAAATACTAATAGTTAAACTTACATCTATAGTTTCCTCCTCATACTAATAGTATCAGAAAAGTAGATTATGGTGTGAAGGGTATAGTGTGAGAAAGAACTCATCGAATTACCCTCTCATAAACAAATTCTTATTAATTAACACTTCATATTTATGATGACCCCAAGATCAGTGAAATAATTTAACATGGATTGATTGAAGATAGACATTAACACTGTTGGATGCCGGCTCACTGGTCTAGAGGTTAAGTGTTCGCGCGCGAGACTGATATGTCCTGGGTTCGAAACTTACGGGGCGGTATCGTAGATGCGTACTACTGAGGAGTCCTATAGTGGGGGTGAGACGGCCGTCCAGTACTTCCAGGCTTTCCATGAGAGTTTAGATTCAGTTGACTCATGAATTCAATTGTTAAATTACTACAACCTCCACAAACCCCTCTCTGATTAACATAATGACAGAGCAATCATTGAGTAATATGACTTTTCTAAATAAACATCCATTTTATGCGAAGGTGGACGGTGGCTAGCAGTGGAAATCAGTTTGACGTGAGTCTCGTCCTATTTGAGACTCCTCAGCTGGGCGAGCCTGCATCCCAGAGCTGACGTTCACTTCAGGACTCGAACTCAGTACCGTTCGCTTCAAATGTCATCGCATTATCCACTTACCTACTGAGTCCTGATGGCTACATATTTGTGAAATGGGGAGAAGTTTAAATTTACTCGGTACAGTTTATTGTATCGTCCCATTGTTATTTAGGACTGCAATTGATCAGTCGATTATTGGCGAATGTGCATCTTGAGCGTATTGCCTTGATATAGCCTTAATTCACAAGCATTATATGCAAAGATGGATAGTGCTAGGTTAGTGTACGGGGGATTTCACGTTTGATGAAATCAATCACTTCTGAATTCTTTAAAAAAAACAAGACCAAATAACTATGCAGTTTTCTGTCATAATGTTTCATTTAGCAAATATCCAAATGAGAACACTGATAATTAAACATACTTCTAACATATCTTCGTAATACTGAAGGAAAAATAATATTGATCAACTTTGATCTAATGAATTATCAGGAACGTAGATTAAAGTAAGAAGTATAGAATATGAGAAAGAACTTGTTATGTCAAATATCATGTGACCGAATCGCCAATCAGAATTCAGACTTATATGACCTTGGCCCTGTGACAGACCAATGACGCATAAACCAGACACGAGACGATTAGATTCAACTTTGAATCTTTATTGATTCTCCTTGCCTGGCCCTGCCCGTTGAGTCAAGAACACAATCTTAGCCGTCATTGTATAAATCATGTAATTCAGGCATACACAGTTTGTACACAGACAAATGAGACCGCATCATATCATAAAAGAAAAGTAACAAATATACAAGATCAATCAATTCAGAGTGTCTACAACTAACAAATCAAATCGCTGCTTAAACGCCCATCACGTCAATCTGGTCTGATGTATCTGTAGACTATCCCTGTTGAGTGTGACCTACCAATTGAAGGACATTGTAGATCACCAAAAAGTATTAGAACAAGTAAAAGGAAGACTCTGAACAGTGCAATCACCAAACATCTCCTTGATACAATCCTTTAGAGTGATTAGTAAGCAGCCAACCTCCAGTCTTCTGAAGTTTGCTGAAGCCATTGCCATCAGGCGTCAAAAACTTGACCTATGTAGTCAAAAGGAGACGGTGGTTAATCTTTCCTTGCCCTGGTGACAAATACTCCTTCAATGCGCCATAAACTTTTTTTCTTTTTTTCTTTTGTATTTATTACATTATTGACTCTATTTTATTTTTTTCAACTATCTTTCAAATGAATAATCTTTCAACTGAACTCTACTCACTATATTCCTATCAATGTTTATTCATTATGTAATCGATTGTTTCTAACCCACTTTTGTACTGTTGTCACAATTAATGTTGTAGAATATTCTTTCACATTAGGTATATATTTACAATATTCAGTAAGCAATTTAAATCCATTATGTAATTACGATGATTTTTAAATATCACAGATTGTAAGCAGCTGACGAGACCCAGACGAAATAAAATGAATTCATGCTATTCTGCTAGAATCTTTGTTCTTGCTCTTTTCACTAATAGAATTGTTATTTTTACGTTTAGAAACAAATAATGTATCAAGCCAAGCTGTCCTTGTTCTGATTATAGCTTAATTCACATAGCCTCTGGGGTCTCCACTATCATGTTAACATTTCCGTTAGAATATCTGTGGGACAAATTAAATCCTTTAAGTGGCTGTGAGTATGAGTGACTGTAGCTGATAAATCGGCAAAAATTTAGAAATGGTGAATCGTACCGCAATGGCTAATAAACCAAATGAAAGATGCTTAATAATTATCCAATAAGAATCCTTCAGTTAACCGAATATTTTGTAACATTATCTCTAAACTATTCATTTAGAGACGATCGTACAGTAGAAACTTACATTCGATTTGTTACACTAAAAGCATATCATGAATGCAAATGTTAATGTTAACTGTATGTTAGAAATGAAATTTTAGTCGTTTAGCGACGAACATGAGCACAACACAACTCATGTCTAATTATACACGTAGGTAAGTTACTATTTTCACCGGATACCAAGTAATACATATTGTGTGTTAGGCATGAATGTTTAATCTCAAAATTTCTTTTCAACCTTGCCATCGATAACTTTCTGGAAACAGCTCTGATGGATGTAGGTAACGGTAGTGTGGTTCTGTTACCTGGAGAAAGACTATTCGACTTTGAGTATGCGGATGATATTGGCTTACTGTGCGATGATACTCAAACCATGAAATTCTCAGTTGATCAGTTGGAAAACAGTGACCGTAGTTATGGCATTTACTTTGCACCTTTTAAAACAATGTACTTACACGAGAACGTCAGGACTCTGAACCTGCACTCACTCTTGGTAGTGAGCAGATATAATTAGTCGAGAATTTCGTGTATCTAGGTATCTGTGTAAATGCTGATGGTTGCATGAATGATGAGATCAATGTACGTATAATAAAAGTTAGAGAAGTTAATGCTAATCCGAACTATCTTTAGCACTTTTGTGATGTAGCCTGGATGTAAATGTTTATAATGTTTCAGTGAAAGCAGTTTTCCTCTATATTTGTGGAGCCCGCCCTCTCTGAGTCAGGGATGATAGTTTACTTTGTGTTCGATCATCGTTGTCTCCCAAGGACTACTAAGATTTAGTGGCAACACCATGTTAGTAATGTAGGGGTTCGGTAAGGTGTGTTCGGACACAGTTACGATAATCCAGTCAGTGTCACCATCTTAATGCACCGACTTCGTTGGTTTGGACATGAACTACGAATGTCATCATCACAAATTCCACATCGTTTAATGTTTGCCGACTCTGGGACTGGGTGCAAAAATCAAAGTTAATTTGTGTATAAAATCATTTCATGACATGACAAAAGCTGTAAAGGATATTGATTAGTTGGTAATTAACAACTCCCTCGTTCGGGTTGTAGAGATAGTGTTACTCAGTAGCTTGTGACTTTATCAGACATACTTAGCACTCTATGGTGTTTGAATGAACTGATGATTCCTTTTTACTTGTTGAATGCTTGATTTTAAACTTCAAATACAGTTCATTCTTTCGTGCTTATCTAATAATTCTTGATCCAATTGCGTTATTTCTGGGATTCCTTGTTTGTACTTTAATTCAAATACTCCTAATTATCACTTACTCCTCTAATGAATCCTTATTGATGAGAACTTTTACCATGTTATTATGTGATGATATAAATTATGTACACTTGTCTTTCAATGTTTGATACTATTAGGTTTAAGTTGTAAGCAGCTGATAAGAAACCACGACAGGAAATGTATTCACGTTATTCCGCTACGTTCACTATTCTTTCATTACTTATGTTTATGAAATAATTCGATGATCAACTAAATCCAAGTTAATCATCTACTCTACACAAAAAATTAATATTTACATGTTATCATTAGAAATTGACGGATACTTCGTATTCGTTGAGCAGACACTGTTAGCAACAACCTACTGTGGGAAAGAACAAACCAGATTCCAGAGGAGGAAGAAATCAGTAAGAAGTGCTGTAAGTGAATAGGACATACATTGAGGAACGTACGCCACTGCGTCACAAGTCAAGTCCTCATATGTATTCCTCAAAGCCAAAGGAGAAGAGAGAAACCAAAGAACAAATTACGTTGAGAAATGGAGATAGACATGAGAAGAATGTACAAGAATTGGATATAACTAGAAAGGAAGGCTCAGGACAGGGTGGGTTGGAGAATACTGGTCTTTGGACTATGCTCCATTGGGATCAACAGGCTTAAGTAAGTGATTGAAAATTGAAAGTTTTAATAGGTTTCATTTGGATGAATTAGTTTCTCTATTTCTGAACTCGGTGTACCATCGTCAGTATATCGTCAAAAAAGATCTGAAAAGTACTTACGTAGGTGATTTGACCACGACCCTAAAAATGTAATATTACAAAATGTTGACAATAGCATGTAAGTAAAAGTGCTCTTATTGATCGAAATCTGATCATCTCTTTTATTATTTTCATTATGAATACCTAAGCTTAGATCCAAATATCTTATATGGATGATGATGTAAATGAAACATGTTTTATTATATTATTCACAGATGAAAGTTATTAAAATGGGAAAAATAAATCAATAATGGAAGGTGACATTATCATTGATTGAGACTTCTTTATTGATTATAATTTGGAGTTTTACACAATGGGGGTAAGAAATGTATGTGACCATGTAATTTTATTACATAATGCATGAAAATATTTTTGTGATTATTATTATTATTAGTGGCTTTATTCACTAATGTATTTCTGGCACAACACAAAGTATTTTGGTGAAACTCTATTTTATGGACGACCTTTGAACGTATTTTTAAGTGACCTTGAGAACATTAGTCAATCAGAAGAGAGTTAGTATAAAGTAAAAATATATTATAAAAAACTGATGAATTACAATGGATATTCTTCTTTTACATGATTTAAGAACTTGTTGAGGTTTGATAAAGGTTCAGAAGTTTTGAAATCATAGTGCATGCAGTATAAGAACTCGTCCATATGGCTCCATAATAATCGTCCTCTGGAGCCGTGGTAGGGTCTTAAAAAAATACTCCAGTCTACACCACATGCCTTCAATGTTGTTTGTATGGATCCCCGTCGTTGGATCAACAAAATGACGTTTGTGCGCCACAATATGATGCACAAAACCAAGTCTCGAGAGGCATCTATACGCTTTCCAATCATCGGTATAGATCGTCGTGCCAGGCTGAACGTACTCCTTGATGATTGGTATGATTGTCGTTACCTGACGGTTTCTTACTCTTTGAAAATGTCCTTTTAGAGTTGAACGATCGTAAAACCCAAGTACCTGTCAAGTATATTCACGGAAGTGCTACTTACCCAATCTTCTTTGATAAAACGTTCTTTATTGTATTTTCGCTTTCTAACTAGCGCCTCATCTATTTCCACTATCTATCCACTATCTTTTTCATTGCGCATATATCACGACAATATTCATACCACTGAACGGCGGAAGTTTCCGTAACATCTGCAAAAGCCGAGGCTAATGTTACTGGAGACTTTATGATCCAATTTGCAACGATTATCATGATTTGTCTTAGCCTTAGCCGTGACCGGGCAAAAAAGTGCCAGTTCGAGTAGATTTTTTTCTCCGACATATAATACAACGAAATACAATATCATCGCGGTAGTCCGCACATCGTGCTGCGGTCATTTGATTGCCGCAGTCACAGACACAGGAACTTCTTAATAGTCCCATCTGCTGTAATCTCTCAACGATCACCTCTTCTCTAAAATCTGCTGTAAAACGATCGAATGTTAGCATCTCGCACTGAACTTAGCGCCGTGACCTTGAAACTCCTTAAACGCTTCTGATTGGCTCGTCCATAAATTAGAGTCCTACCAGTATTTTAACAAGTTTGCTTTTCTTATTTGTTGATCGATCCTTGAGATAAATATAGAGTAGTCACCAGTTAGATGTTAGCAGTTTAGGAATGGACACATGAATTATATAAATTCTGTTCACTGCATATTGCCAGAAAACACGACGTCTCTGATTAGGCATTTTTAAGTAGTACAGTGAAAGGTTATAAACCTTTTCATAAACGCACTTGAATAGATTATGCAATTAATAACCATAATGATGTGTTAAAACAAACAAGGAAATAGACAACTTGTTGAAATATTCAGATGGCAGAAATAGGTAGCCCGGATGTTTAAGCAGGCCCCCAACATGAATAAATTTATCAACAAGATATAATTTGATCATAACAATTTCTTCAAATGAATATTAAGTTGCCTGGTAGTACGCCCGATATAGCTACCTTCATAAGAAATATTTTATTTCTAATTGGTCATATAGAAACAACAATGTAATCACTTACAAATTTAGTGGGATATGTACACTAAGTCATAGTTTATAATAAAGATATTTGAGTTAATGATATATTGAAAATGAAAATTTATGAAGTTGTGAAGTATTCAAAATGGAAGTCATTTGAATGTGTGGTCATAATGAAACAGCAATATTACCCTATATCCTCCTGTTTTATGAACTTAAGAATAAAGATAACGTAACCGCTTAATATACGTAATATCAGATGGGTTTTGTGGATATTATAGTAATTTCAGTGGTTATGATCATGAGTCAGTTGAAGCTAGACCACCATGGAAAACCTGGAAGCACTGGATGGCCGCTTCGCCCTATTGTGGGACTCCTCAGCAGTGCGCATCCATGGCCTCGCCCCCTGTGAGATTCGAACCCAGGACCTACTGGCTTCGTGCACGCGATCTTCAGCAACTATCCATTCGACTTGGAAAATATCAAAATAATACGAAGAAAAAAACTTTCTCAACTCTAAAGGAAGATGAGTATCTGATGTTTTCCATGTATTCCTGAGAACAAAAGATGGTATTACTATCCATCTGATTTGAACTATCTTTCCAAGCTAACACGTCTAATCCTATTTACAAATCACAATGTTATCATAACACACAAGTTCAACTATATCTTTTAACATTACAAATGTCATATTTTATACACTCATTAACGCGCACACAAATATACAAGGATGTTTCCTCATCTTCACGGGAGTAAAATGACAGTGGCTTCGTCAGACTTGTTTCTTAGTTGCTTCATTCATTTGTACCATTTAGACATAGTTTGTTTATTTATTCTCTAAAGAAGCTGCTTACACAGTCACGAAAAGTCAGGAAATTTAACTTTTCATCTCACTGAGATATTACAAATATATCATTTGCCTATTGGTAACAATCGTACCCAATACTGAGTTTTTTTGAAATTAACAGGTCAACTCTTCGTAATGATATCTAAATTTGTTAGTTTTGGTAGTTGATTTATAATAAAAGGTCGTTAAGTGATATAAAGTGAAAAAGTGGGGTAACACTAGGGTATTGCGTCATTCAGGTAAGTTGCTGAATTCCCCTAAGATTTCATAATCAAGTCTTTCCTATCCATCTATGTGCATGGTAAATTTTAAACACTGAAATCATATCAGAAGGGGTTTCTGTGAATATTATAGTAATTTCAATAGTTGAGATCATTAGTCAATTGTGAGATATTAACTCATTGAAGACATCGGTGGATGTGTTGTTCAAATTCGTGGATTAGTTGAAGTTAGAAATTAACAGCATTGGATGCCGGATCAGTGGTCTAGCGGTTAGACGCTCGAGCACGAGACTGATAGGTCGTGGATTTGGATCTGGTGAGGAAGGATCGTGGTCTCGCACGGCTTAGTAGTCCCACAGTAGGACGGAACGGCTGTCCAATACTTCCACGTTTTCCATGGTGGTCTAAATTCAATTGACTCATGATCTCAACTATTGAAATTACTGAAATCATATTTATTTTTATCATATGGTGCATAATAATTCCACATTTTGGGAATTGAATACTGGAACATACACATGATATAACTGTTCTATAGTTTATCTATCATAATCTCATTATAAATATTTGGGTATCAACTTACCAAGTAATCTTTTTCTCTTTTCTGTATATTACCTTATGGTTAATACATTTTGTTTCTGAATGAATTAAGTAAATGAAATCTTATTGTTTATAGTGAAATGAAATTGCCAATTTTACTGACACCTTGTGTATAAGGAGACAATAGTAACTTTGATTTATCCTTTCTCATATTGAGCAGTAAGTTGGGTGCATCGAATTTATTTAGTATACAATAGAACAACCTATTCATCCAATAAGATTTGAAGTAAATTTCATAATTCTGAGTTTGAGTTTATCACAGTTATCAGTATAGGGTGTTTGTGATGAATGTCAAATTTACCTAAGATCATGAACCGATCTTATTGTTATACAACATGGTTTGACAAGTAGTCATCAGATTGATGTATTACGGTAAGTGGCAGAACACTGAGTAACAATAGTATTTGGATCTGTAATGTTACCTAATAAAATTTGATCTCATGAAACTCACAAGGTATGATCAGTGTTAACATCACATCCATCAATGAAAACGATACATTTAGAACAGGGATGATCCTCTACTTTATTACATTTCCAATTGCTAATTCATAGAGAACTATGTAGTTTTATATTCCACGATTTAGATTCACGAAGTTTTTTTTCTGAGGAAAACAATAGCGAATGGAGTTACAGACTGTAGTATCATAAATCAAGTATTAGATACACCAGAACACGGATGGGACAGTTTTTCTCCATTACACATAGCTTATAATATTTATGGCTTATTATGTTCATTTCTTTGAATAAGTACATATGATAAATATCTTATGTTCGAATCTCGCTAGTCGGGATCATAGATGAGCACTGCTAAGGAGTCCCATACTAGAACGAAACCGCCGTCTAGTGCTTTCAGATTTTCCGTGATGGTCTAGCTTCAATTAACTCATGATCTCAACCATCAAAATATCTCATGTCTTTTAAACAAAAATCTCACATTCTCTTTGCAATTTAATTTAGCGGAATAAATATGCAATAACTTACAATTCTTCTAAAATCACACTAAATTGTAATATCCACAAAAATAATTTCATTAGTCAGATATTCCAAATGAAATTTTCTTGTCTAGCAAACGACCTGAGACAAAATTCGTTTGATTCTTTACGTATGGTAATACTTCAAAACTGTGCTTTCTCTTCCCGCATTATAGGGAATAAGGTGTCAGTGGTAATAAATTCAGTTCTTTCATGTCAATCAATCATTTTTTGCATCAGTCCTAGAAAAGATTCGGTTCTTATGGATTGATTTCCTATAAACCAACATAAACTGTTGAAATGCAAAGATAAAAATGAGAAGTATTGACATCTGGAAACGTTGATAAAGACAATCGCTGAGACCATAATCTATGGACGACCTATGATCGACGCTAAAGTGACCTTGAGAATGTCCACCTCATAAGTAGGACTAACTGAGGATAAGCAATTAGAATTAGAGTTTTCATCACGAACTGACATAATCTATAATACCAAGACTTAATTTAGCCGAATGTACGAATGCATTTCGCGGCGAAACCTCAGAATCGTTACGTTGTATCTTGTATTTCAGTTAGTTCAACTTTGTCTTAATAATCTCATATAATGTTAATCATTGTATCGTACTGTATCAGGTTGTGAAAATGTCATCAGAACTTACTTCATTAAAAAGTTTGGTAAACTATAATATATATATGTCATTACATCCTTCTTATTTCGGTATTTGAAACGAAATCCAAGCAAATATGTAGTGAAAATGCAGTTTGAACTACTACTGTGGTATGTGCTACTTACATCGACATAAGTAGTGTATAACGCTAGTCAGATAAAGAATGTCTGGATGCAGAAGATTCCTGAAGGTCAAGAAGGGAAGAACAGTAACAGAAAGCAATTGGTATGGAAATCTGGGAACAGCAAAGTCTAAGACATTTGACGAAGATTTTTTAAATAAAGTATTAGAGTATGGTTTTTCTATTTTATCATGTGACTCTGTAATTTTGTGCTGAAAATGATCGGTTGTCCTCACCTGTGTTCTCCTTCACTACATTATTACTACACATATATGCAAATGCATACATTAGTTCATATTAACACGGATCTAGAAACCATAAATGAGTGTCAGTTATAAAAACAGTAATCGCTTGAATTTAGACATGGAATACCAGCTCATTGGTCTAGAGGTTAAGCGCTCGCACGCAGGATCGGTAGCTCCTGGGTCTCATCGTAGATGCATACTGCTGGAGTATGCTTTCTCTATTTTATTATGTAACTCTATAATTTTGTGTTTAAAACAACCGATTACCCTCATCTGTGATCTCTTTCACTACACTATGATGCATTTTCTCTATTTAATGTAGATTTCGAGACCATTTTCGTTCCCCTATTTTAGTGGTAGTAAGGTAGGGATGACAGAATTAAGTCACATGTACAATCCAAAAAAAATTCGTTTGTTCAAGGTTCCTAAAGTTGGATACTTCAATCCATAAAAGAAACAATTATAATCGATTATTTCTCATCATTCACTTACACATGAGCATAATTCCTTCGTTTCATTAAACACAAACCATGTTACATTTGACTGAAAGGAATTATTGAATAGAAATAGAAAGCTGAGAATCCATTTGCTCAATTGGATTTAGAAAATGATTAACTAACGTAGTTTTTAAACAGAAGAACATACATCTCTCTTTGAATTAAGAATAAGCCAGTCTATGTCTCCCTAAGAAACAAAAGGGTATCAAAATGAACACATAAATTGAAGAGTTGAGTATTTTGAATTAAACATTTGATCCATTGCTTCTTGGAATATCAACAAAATGTATATTATATACTGCTAGCGATTCCACTATACTTAAATAATTAGGTAATGATGAATAGAACAAGCTGTGACAATCATCAGAGTTATGTGATACTTGGATACGATCTGAACTAAGAAGGACTTGACATTGGTCATCATCCAGTGATCAATCAATTGTAAATATATATCAATCCTACAGGAGGTCAGTCGCGGCCCGGATAGCTCAGTAGTAATGCCTCTAACTGTCAAGCTGGGTGATACAGGATCGAATGCACTAAGGAATATCAGCTCTCTCAAGATTACATGTACATCTTGTTGGTAGGTGCCGAATATCACGACTTGCTAATGGGTGCTAAATAGCATGTAACCTAGGTTCATGGTTCCCTATTGATCACCTATAACCATCATCTTAATGTATTGTATTGTTTAAAATAATTGAAATATTGGAACATTGATTCTTTCACTGAACTATAACTTACATTCCATCTCCCACTTCCTATAGATAACGGTGAAGCAATTTTATCAAACTGATTACTTTAACATGTGCAGTATTGACAAGGTGATGTATTATGTAGAAGAAAAGAAATTTAAGTTTAGGGTTCTTCATGAAACAATAACAATATGTAGTTTGGGATCAGTGATACAGCGGAACGAGATTAAGGATCAAGACACCGAAGTACTTTATGATTACATTTTCTTTTTAGGGACAATTCTGACACATGAAGAAAGTTTAAATTGTAAAATCAACAACATAGGCTTGTATTATCGATAACATCCATGTGCACCATGATAGAGAATATAGAAATCCATGTTACATGCCTTGTTTTATCTATGCTTGACTGTTTTAGAAGGCTAAATATATTTGAGCTGTTTCACAAACGATACAAATCAGTGTTGGTATTTCTGAAAAGACATCTTAAAGAAATTGAACACTTGGAAATAGTTAGATCCAGTCAATAAGGGCGATTGATCTATACTCGATTAATGAAATGCGGATCAAGCATATACGATGGAAAACTTCGATGCCAATCAAGGAACGTATTTTTTGATCGTTCACAACTTATAACAGCTCACGTGCAATTGAGTTTGTTCACCATTAATTCGATTAAGTCATTTTGTTAACTTATTAACGAACTGAGTCACCCGTACAACAACAACAACAACATATCTATATCATTGTATCTTTATTACTGTTGCGAATGTATGAACATGTATGCTTGAGCGTTGCTTACTGCCCAAGCATTTATTTACGCTTCTAGCCTTACTACTATCCGCCTAATTGATTTGATGATTCATTCATATCACTATGTATTTATATGTCCATGTTATTCATGTTGATTGCTCTGTCACTCGCCTACTCATACTCATGTTCACTGACTCATTCACTTGCCTTTCGGCACAACTCTTGTTTACCGCATCTGTAATTTTGAATATCTGTATGTGGTCCCGTATTAAACTTAATCGACGCTTCGTATTCGCCTTCTGATTAATATACCGTTGAAGCGTTATCTAGGACGGTTATCAAGACGAACTGTATACGAAGTTTAAGGATTTTATTGAATACCGACCACCACAAGCTAATCGAAATAATGAATTTTGTGTAAATTATGTTATGATATATGGCAAATTTGATTTTAATAATTGAATTCATGAGTCCGTCTAAATTACACCTTCATGAGATGCTTCATGCTGAGGAGTCCTATACTACAACCAAGATGGTCATTTAATGCTTTATAGTTTAAAGTTATTTACATTGCTCATACATAGTTATACTTACCATCAATTCTGAAGACTATAAGAAATAGAGACCAAAAAATAAGGGTAATACATGGTAATATAATAATTTGATATGGAGTCAATAGAATATCATTCTTAACCATTGGATATTGTATGAATCTCCAATGGAACGGATTACAATGTTTATATATATAGATAAGCTTGACCAATTGAGATTAAACTGATAAACGAGTCTACACATATGACAATAGGTGATAATGTAACATTAGCAAACATCCATCAATTGTATTCATCCAACGCCATACATTAATTGTCGTTGAACCACACCTTATATCCATCCATATATGATGAGATGACAATTGAATTCCTATGATGTCATAATAGGCAAGATAATTAGTGAAAGTCAAATGTATGATTGTTGTCATGATTATCAAATAGGTGATTAATGAATTAAACAATTTTTCAATCAGCTTTCTTGAATGTAAACATCATTTTGATGTATCCTCCCCATATGAAAAAAGTAAGTCGTCCTACTTACCTATATAGGTTATAGGTATAATAAACTCAGCAAGTCTATACTTGCTTGATTTACAATAGTTATGTCAAGTAAATTATGGATGACTAAATGTTCTAGATTCTGTCCATAAACATTTCTGAAGTAAGAATTTGTTTGCGGTAAAGTTTATAATGAATCCCTTAATTGTAAAATACTATCTACATCACAGTAGATCGAAAGAGAATAGATTCGTTGATAATGGTTGATGTTGAAAGCTTCATGTGTTTAGTTTCATAGTGTTATAACTTGTGACCGCCAATTAGAGAGCAATGATGTATCGATCGAATCAATGTTGCGCTAACCCGTATGAGCAGCCTGATTGGCCCTGCTTTCCGCCTAGCCCAGCCAGTTCGGTCCAGAACGCAAGTCTCAGCCTCTGCAATATGAATCATTCATTTCAAATATACTGACTTTGTACACCAATCAAACAGACCACGACGTATCAATAAAATATGAAAGAACATTTGTAGGAGATAGCAATTGATAGACAGGACATAATTCAAGAATGGCAAAACGTATAAGAATGGTTCATAGGTTCATAAAACTATCTCAAAGTTACCATTTATTATGTTTCTCGGGACCTAACACATTGTCTGTGTAAGTTGTCAATAATTTGGCTAATTGAAAATAAATTAAAGTAGTCATTTGTAAGTGACATTCGTGTTAACATACATTCTCACTAGAACTCCTAGAATTCCCTCACGACGCTAGTCACTAGTGAGCACATGTTAATTGTCAGTGTAGGGGTTGTGGAGATCGTGGATATGCACTGCTGAGGAGTCCCATACTACGACGAAACGGCCGTCCAGTGCTCTCAGGTTTCCAACGGTGGTCTAGCTTCAATCGACTCATGATTTCAATCAGTGAAATTTCTGAAATCCCCACAAAACCCATTCTGATTGAAATAATGCATATCAGGCCAACTTACAGTCATCATAATGGATAACATATACATTGAAAATCGGTAATAAAACAATTTAACAAGATGGGTATTGCCTGATCACACTACTCCTGCTCGTACAATCACCTTTAAACAATAATCGATTATCAGTGTACGTGTTTGTTGAGATTGTTGAATTTTCATAGGCTTTATGTCACAAACTGATCTTAAGAAAGATCTGTTCATGACTTTAACTTTAAAAATACTTGGAATTCACTAGTCTTGAACTGTAAACACATAAAGAGACTGTAAACTTTCATAACCTATCAACTAAAATCGTATAACAGGGCTATGAATGGACATAATAGCAAGTACAGCAATCAATTATAAAATGACCATGATATCATGAATAAAAGCTGCGATTCTTTTTATTACCTATACACACTACTGGCGGGCAATCAGTAGCATGAAATTTCGAAAGAATGTTTTATACAAAGGAATAGTGTTGTTGTATCTCCACAGCAGTGCGCATCCACTACCTCGCCCCCTGCGGGATTCGAATCCAGGACCTACCGGTTTCGCGCGCGAGCACTTAACCACCCGCCCACTGAGTTGGCCAACTCAGAGGGGGGGTGAGGTCGTGGATGTGCACTGCTGAGGAGTCCCAAAATAGGACGAAACGGCCGTTCAGTGCTTCCAGATTTTCCATGGTGGTCTGGCTTCAACTGACTCATGATTTTAACCATTGAAATAGTGTTGTTGTATATGATGAAACACATATGTACATGGAAGTAATGGTGTTGTCAATTCAAAACATGTGTACACCCATAACTGGGAAAATAAACACCCGTCTCTCAAACATTGAAACTGTGACCGTGACGATCGCTCATTGTTCTGCAAATACTTTATTCATGATTAGCCAAAAGATGTTGGTTGATTCCCATCCAACTGAGAACAATGTATCATACAACGAATCGAAGTTGAAGATTAGGGTTTACTTGATTTAATCAACCCGACGAGTTGAAAGACTCGATAAATTTAATGTAGTTTAGCTCAAATACTTGATTGACAGAATTCTATAACTACTCCAATAATAGACAAATACGACATTGATAATTTTATTTTGTTTGACAACTATGGATAACTCCGTCCAACAAGAGGTCAGTTATGGTTCGAGCAACAAAGCAATTAATCCTCATACTACAAACCTAAATGATATGAGATGGAATCACACAAGTAGTAATGGTTTCTTCAAGACTGACAGAACACTTTACTAACTTGTACCAAGTAAAACAAAACTTAAGTACACAGTATCCAGCAGAAGGTCTACAAACACCGAACATTATCCAACACACGTAGAAGATCTCCTGAATAACAACAAATGAAAATATGACTTGAAATCGTCATCAGTCTCATAATGCAAAATTATTTATTTATTTTAACACACAGATATTGGTTCAAGGAGGCACCAAATACATATACGCCACACAAATCTCATTTGATATGTGTGAGGGCTGTGATACTGTCCGGGTGCCCAAACCGAAGCAGGTGGTTTGCCTAGGGGGCCACACCCCGAGCCTTTGACCTGAAGGTCTGTTCCACAAGGCAGTGGAGCATCGTAAGGTGATGTAGTCACATGGAAGCCGGTGACCAACAGTAGGTTCATACGCCATTTGTTCCTCTCATTTTCGTGAACAACACCCCCGCCACGAGAAGGCAGTGAGTAGGACTTCCCTGGTAGAGCCTATATACGCGTGTCCATGTGAGAGCATTTCGAGAGGGAGAGCGGACTCTCCCCACTCTCGGCCGTACCAGGGCATTTGGGGGCCATAAGGGAAAACGCACAAGACGTAATAAAAAGACAACGCAAAATGAAGTCAAATAGGTAGCGTCAGGTTCTCTAATTAATAGATGAAGAACGCAAATACTAGTTGATCCTATAAAAACAAAATCATAACAATCGTTTGAAATTAGATGATAAGTAGTTACAGTATTCATTCATCGCTGAATCAGGAACTTCTATGGATTGATGGCAGAAATACGTATTCTTCTGTCACATGAGATTTTCATTCATCTTTGCTCTCTTTACATAGGTGATTGTTGATCACATACACACACTCTATTTGAATGTGACATCTTTTATTTTAACAAAACTTCATACTACGCTCACTTCACATTAGTGAATTCAATACTATACAGATGAAAAGATGGTATAATCGTCAACATTTCTACAAGCAGTTGAAGTCAACAGAAATATATTTATTATCAGAAGGGGGTTTTTCGGAGATTAAAGTAACTTAGTAGTTGAATTCATGAGTTAATTGAAGCTGGACCACCATGGAAAACCTGGGAGCACCGGATGGTCGATTCATTCTAGCATACGACTCCGGAGTACCGCACACCTACGATCAAACAAGTGGGATCCAGACCTAGGACCTATCGGTCTCATATGCGAACACCTAACCTCTAGACCACTGAGCCAACATCCAACGGTGTTAATGTCGAACTTTAATCGATCCATGATCTTGCTCAACCACTCATTGTCTGAAGTAGATACTTGTCTCTACTCGACATGGATTGGACTTGATTAATCATGGCTTCTCACTGGGATCTCAGGAAATACCTGTTGAAGCCAGTCGTGGACGAGCACTGGTGAGGAGTGCCATGCTAGGACGAAGTGGCCATCCATTTAAAAACATTTGAAGTTTGTCATCTGAAGACTTTCATTGCTATAAAACATGGGGAGAATGAATGATCAAACTAAACTTCGAACTAGAACACTTCAAACAATCGAACAACCCGTATTTCATCCACATTTAATTTTACTATCTATATCAAGCAAACTCCACCTGGAGCTCTTCTAGCGCTACTGCCGGTTCCAAGCCTGGACAAAGGAGGAAGGTTGGGCATGGGGTTAGCGATCCCATCCCGTAGAAAACTAACTCGCTAAAAAACGCTTATCTATATCAAGCTGATTATGCCTGTAAACTGGCATCTTAATTACTCATATTCTCAGCATACAAATGATTATTAAATTTAACGTATAGTTTCAGTTAATGTTACACTGGTGAACAGAGGACTAACATCAGGTAAGCACTTTTTAAATACTGTCAGTAAAATGAAAAGTATCATGAACTAAACATGTTTAGCAACTTGTCTTCTAACTGGTTCTAATCTTACGAATAAGCATTGAGATGATTTGGTAGTAAGATGAATTAGTTATTCAAAACACGTCGTAAATGCAATGCAGGATTGCGTACGTTTGGTAAATTTAGTGCCATTCTCCAGGAATAACAGCGTCGTGTTCAAGCAATTCTGATGATGAGGAAGAATATTGAGAAAGAAGTTATTCAGACTGTAATTACTCATAATGTCTTGATATAGTTATGAATAAGAGTTGGAACTATTTACCATCTAGTTTTAATATGTACAAAGTTTTGTACTAAAAAGGACAAAACGCGTATGACATTGATCACCACCCAGGATGTTGGTTGTGGCTCGGATAGCTCAGTGTTAACGTCTCTGACTATGAACCTGGTTGATACGGGATGTAATCCATCAGGGAACATCAATTGTCTCAAGAATATAGGTTCATCTTGCTGACGAGTGCCAAGTAGAACGAAACCTGGGTCCAGGGTTGCTTGTCGACTACCTCCAACCATCATCTAATCTCAAAGTTTATTTTCGTTGAGCATCAATGAGTTTTC